GTCTATTAGATATCCTGGTATTAGGGGTTTAAATGTTCCTTTTGTGGACGTACACGTCTATTAGATATCCTGGTATTAGGGGTTTAAATGTACCTTTTGTGGACGTACACGTCTATTAGATATCCTGGTATTAGGGGTTTAAATGTACCTTTTGTGGACGTACACGTCTATTAGATATCTTGGTATTAGGGATTTAAACGTACCTTTTGTGGACGTACACGTCTATTAGATATCTTGGTATTAGGGGTTTAAATGTACCTTTTGTGGACGTACACGTCTATTAGATATCCTGGTATTAGGGGTTTAAAATATATATTTGTATAAACATAACTAATGCCATAAGCAAATATTTCTTCTTTTTTTTTGTATCATATGTATATTATGTGTATTTCAGTGCGATATCATATGTATATTATGTGTATTTCAGTGCGATATCGTATGTATATTATGTATATTTCAATACGATATCATATGTATATTATGTATATTTCAGTGCGATATCGTATGTATATTATGTATATTTCAGTGCGATATCATATGTATATTATGTATATTTCAGTGCGATATCGTATGTATATTATGTTTATTTCAATGCCATATCATATGTATATTATGTGTATTTCAATGCTCCTTACCTTAGAAAGGACATTGAATTGTTGGAAAGGTTCAGAGGAAGGTTATTAGAATGATGCCTGGGATGGAAGGGTTGTCATACGAGGAGAGATTGAGATCTCTCAAATTGTTTTCTCTTGAAAAAGGAAGAGTGAGAAGGGATCTGACTGAGGTGTTTAAGATTGTAAAGGGAATTGATAGTTTTATTTTTCTAACAAGGTGGTTGACCTTTAGAATGGGTTGCCTTCGGATGTTGTGGATGCAGTAAAATTAAGTGAGTTTAAGAAAGAACTTGATAATTATAAATGATAAGGACTGGATCTAACATATTTTTCTTTACTTTATTCATTTAATAGTTTTTAGTTCAGTTTAGAGGATGGGACAGCCAAAATGGACTAATAGGTCCCTTGATGTCCCAAAACATTATGTTATGTTCACTGACGTTTTTCGCTCCTGCGACCTACAGATTGCGAGTCGAGAGCCGTAAACAGCTGATGATACCAAATATAAGGTTTCATTTGTTTCAGGTACAGGTAATGCTACTGTAAACAAAGATAAGTTTCTTAGTTTCTGATGCGGCTAATAGAAACAAAGTTAAGGTTTGGTTTATTTTCGATACAGCTAATGGTGACTAGAAGTAAGTTTTGTTTTCAATGACACGAGTGGGATTGAAAAGACTAATCTTTGTTTTGGGTATCAGAAGAGACGTTACAAATAGATATCTTTGTAAATAAAGTAGCAGTATTAATTGTCTCCAATGCTGTAATCATTGAGCTAGTCATCACCACCCACAGCCAACTCTTGGGCTACACTTTTACCAACGAATAGTTGGATTAACCGTCACATTATACCACCTCCAGAGCTAAAAGGGCGAGCATGTTTGGTAAAACAGGGATTCGAACCCGCGACCCTCAGATTGCGAGGTCACGTACCCTAACTACCTCGCCATGCATGCCAACATGATGAAAGAGAGATGAGAATTTTCTTTCATGTGGCATTAAGAGCATGATTAAAAACGTGGGTTTTGGGAACAATTAACGGTGTTTTCTATAATGGTTTCAGTTTTGGAGATAATTAATACTGTTATCTAGAAGAATGGTTACAGTTTTGGTAACAGTTGATGCTGTTATCTAGAAGAATGGTTACAGTTTTGGTAACAGTTGATGCTGCTATCTAGAAGAATGGTTACAGTTTTGGTAACAGTTGATGCTGTTATCTAGAAGCCTTCCCTCTAGTCTTACACTGCTAAATTAGGGACAGCTAGCGCGGATAGCCCTCGTGTAGCTCTTCGCGAAATTCAAAACAAACAAACTTTTCTAAGACGTTGCAGAGTTTTGGTTGTCAAGACTTCTGTTACTCTACACTATTTTGTTTTTCTTTCTATAGACTTATAGCACAGATAAGCAAGTCCCTGATTCCGCCTCTACAGCCACAGCATTTCTCTGCGGCATCAAAACAAAGTTCCAAATGATCGGTGTTTCTGCAAGAACCAAACACCAAGACTGTGAATCAGTGTTTGGTAATGAAGTTTCTTCAATTCTCCAATGGGCTCAAGTTGCAGGTAATTGTCATGTAGTAAAATATATACGGTCATTAAACATACTGAGTGTCTGTATAAACTGGCGATCTTACTTTATACCAGATTTATAATTTAAGAACTGTACTCAAAGGGAAAGTAAAGCACGAATTAACATTACATGAAAAATGATTATGTTTTTTTTTTTTAAGATTGATGACCTAACATCATGAGAGAGGTATCTTTGCGGATTTACAGCGCTAGAAACCGGGCTTCGATACCCGTGGTGGGCAGCGCACAGATAGCCCAATGTGTAGCCTTGTGCTTACTACAAACAAACAGACAAAACAAAGATCATGAGAGAGGAAATCACTTTGAAACCAGCAAGATTAATCAAACTATATTTAATACTTGTTTCTTCAGCTTCCCACTCACTAGGTGTGATAGTCGAATGTAGTCAATACAACAGTAAATTAAAGAGGTAATCGAACATTAAAGATCTTATCTAGCATTTACAACATTCTCTCAGTATTACATGCCACTATTTCTGGGCCCTAGTTATTTTGCTGTTTTTAATATCATTGTTGATCAAAAGAAACTATTATAGAGATCGTAACTTTAATTTTCAAACAAAAGCAATCAATTAACCTTAGCCAAAGTAAAAAGGGGTTACAAATTATTTTATTGGAACAAATATTTTTCTTGCATGAGTGCATATCACAGTGACACCTAGTATTATTTTTCGGAATGATAATGACAGCTAATGTTATTTTTGGGGAAGAGGGACATGCTATATTTAAGTGATAGATAACTATTATGGGGAGAGAGACATGCTATATTTAAGTGAAAGATAACTATTATGGGGAGAGAGACATGCTATATTTAAGTGATAGATAACTATTACGGGGGAGAGGCACTTAAATATAGCATGTCCCTCTCCCCCGTAATAGTTATCTATCACTTAAATATAGCATGTCCCTCTCCCCATAATAGTTATCTATCACTTAAATATAGCATGTCTCACTTAAATATAGCATGTCTCTCTCCCCATAATAGTTATCTTATAGCATGTCCCTCTCCCCATAATAGTTATCGTTAAGTGATAGATAACTATTGTGGGGAGAGGGACATGCTATATTTAAGTGATAGATAACTATTACACGAGAGAGGGACATGCTATATTTAAGTGATAGATAACTATTACGGGGGAGAGGGACATGCTATATTTAAGTGATAGATAACTATTACGGGGGAGAGGGACATGCTATATTTAAGTGAAGAAATAATTCTATTATCAGGGAAGCACACCTCTGGTATTGAGAAGTAACGTTATTTTTTCAAGGAACAATATTTGTCTTTTCTATCTAAACAATACTTTCTGCGACACGTGGGTTAAACGGCCACATCAGAAGCTCTTAAGTCTTGGGTATAAATGTATAAACATCCCCAACGGCAGTCTCTGCTTATAAGACTTTCTTAACCGAATGGCAAGACTGAATGTCATAGTTATAATGCCTTCACAAAAGAGAGTGAAAAGCGTGTTCATCGACATATCGCGGCTCGAACTCGGGAATACTTGATTGGCAGCCCAGTACGCTAACCACTGGGACACATTCAGTTTCTTTAACAGGGAAGCACATTATGTTCTAATGAGAGGTCCTGCTGTTTTCAGGTGGTTTGGGTGCTTGACTCGCAACTTGAGGATCGCGGGTTCGTATCTCCGTCACACCAAACATGCTTGCCCTATCAGCCGTTGAGGTGTTATAATGTGACGGTCAATCTCACTATTCGTTGGTAAGAGAGTAGCCCAAGAGTTGGAGATGGGTGGTGATGACTAGCTGCCTTCCCTCCAGTCTTCCCCTGCTAAATTAGGTACGGTTAGCGCACACAGCCCTCGTGTAGCTTTGCGCGAAATTCAAAAACAAACATACTATTTTCAAGAAAGCACTGTAAGTGAATGAGAGAAGGCACTATGTTCAGGAGAAAGTGTACAGTAAGAAGAGCTAACACTATTTTTTAGAAGAACACGTTGTATTACAATGTCAGCTAAATCTATTATCAGGGAAAAGTAACGGTATGATATTGAAAACACTG